CTTCCAAATTGTTGCCCCGCCACTTGTGTGTGGTTTAAGCTATATTGTTTAACCCCTTCTAGCCACCTGCTTCTATCATGGAAATGGTAGAACTTGCTTCAAGGGATTAAGAGACTAAATCCTGGCCACAGTGTGACCTGTATGGCTTTAAATAAGTTCATTAAGCATTTGAGCCCTGTCTGTAATTGGGGATAATAGAGTAGGGATACTTAGCACATGCCATCTTGGTCTGTCCTATTAAAATATCTACCTTCTTTAGAACAAGAATAGGGCCCCATTGATTTTGTCTGGTACATAGTAGGTGCTCAAAAAATATGTTATGACTTAAATATGGCACCAAAACCTTGTTAATATTGGAAAAGTATACATAAAAATAAGGACAGTATGAGTGAGGCATCACAGAATATCAACTGAAGAAAAAAGTCACATGTTAAATGATATGGTAAAACATGGAGGAAAAGCCAGACGAGCAGATGAAATGATGAAACACAAAGTTTGATCAAATGATAAAAATGCAGTTGATGTAAGAATGGATAGAAAAGATTATAAAAGACAAAATAATATTAATAATAACGTTTTTACACAATGGAGCGGGACTGGTAGAGAATGCAGCTCTAAGAATAAGATCTTGGTAGCTACGGCTTCATAACTTCCAGAATTCCAGACATTGGCTCGTTTTGTCCTTAGCCCAACCAGGGAAGTAGGTGACCAAGGTCCTCCTTTCAGAGTCAGGGAGACAGTTCCGGAAAGTTAAAGGACAAACTAGTTAACACGCAGGAAGACCCAGGGCTGGAGACAGCTCTCCCGAATCCAAGAACCAAGCTCTTTTCGTTAGGTCGTACAACCTGTGTGTTAGAAAGGCAGATTTAATATAATGAGCGATCACTTATAAATCAATGTATTTAGCATTTAATGTCAGAGACCAACCAATTGTTACAGAAAGGTGTCTTCGTCTTTCAGTTTATGCCCATTCAAGCACCGAATGATGAAGAAAAACGTGATCCTGTCCTTTTTGCCAGTAGAGTCCGGAATCTGATGGCAGAGTAAGTGTCTGTGTGTGTGATCATAATCGCTAGAGAGTTTGAACATTATTAATAAATGACCTTTAACTTAGTTCTAAGGTTTGTTTTTTCTTTCTGAGGTCCTCATTCCTCAACTTATTTTGGGAAGTCAAATAATGTGCCCGGGAATGCGGTCAGTGTGACAATCTATAAATGCTCTCTCAGCTGCAGCCCCAAACTAAGAGAAATGTGTCTTTGCTGGAACGGAGGAGGGGAGGGTACACTAACCAGAAGAGACCAGCCAGTGCCTTCCACAGGGCAGATGCCCCCCAGCTGGCCATCACCAGCAGATGAAGCCTCGTGACGGTCCCAGCGGGTAAGCCCGCCTTCTGTCCCCTCAGCCTCCGTGTAGCTGCCAGGGCCATGGGTTTCAAAAGCCTTCGTGAACGTTCTTGCAAAGCGGAGAACGTTTGCAAGGGAATGTAGTAGATGCATAGAAAGACGAAAGAGTCGCCCCATTAGGGGGTGACTATGAATTTAGGGTTTAGAAATTGCAAAACATAAGGTAGTAGATATTTTCCTACACTTAAAGGAGTTTTAACTGGCCACTATCGTGATGAAATAGATCACCTCTCATCAATGAAAGAATGTGTGTGATGCTGTCCCCACCCAGCTGTGGGGTGTGTACCAACTTCCCAGGGACCACCACCCGCAGTCCAGTGGTAGGTTTAGAGCTAATAGGCCAGCAGTATTTATTCTCTTAGTGAATACTAAGCAAGAACTGTGAACTTAGCTTCACAGCAGAATCTGGCTTTATAGCAAGCACATTCATATATATTCATGTGTATACACACATATATAGTAATATATGTGCATATGTAAGAATAGGTATTCATATATATACACAAGTATCTATTTATATTAATGTTCCACAACAGGATAACTCTATTTTCAAAAAAGAATAAATGTTTAACAACAAAAAAAATTTTGTTATGTATACTTAGGTGTGCTTATTTTATCTTGTTTCTAGTTCAGCTACAGTTTGCTTGTATATTGTTTTTTTTCTTTTTTTCATTATGTTTTCTTGCCAGCTTATGTCCAAAATTTAGGAACAAAGATAAGTATTAGGAATTGTGAGAATTTTTGTCAGATATTTTGACTTCCCAAAATGTGCCTAAAAGCAGAGGAGGGATTTATTTGTTTAAGGCAGATGTTTTCCGAATTTGGAGGCACAGAGGTCTAAGGGCCTCTGATAAAAAGAAGAAGACTTCCATCAGCCGAACCTTGGACGACTTGTCCCCAAGATGTCCCCAAGGTGGCCTTTCCTCACACGTAAAGGGGGAATTGTAATCCTTACCTTGTCGTTCTCATGGTTTTGGTTATTTTGAGACTCAAGTGGGAGATACAGGCATTTGAAAATGGTGAGGACAAAGCTGATGTAAATACTCAGTATTTACCAAGTGCCATGCTGGGCCCTTTATGTGTCGCATGTCACATCATCTTCACAGCAACTCTGTGAGGCAAGTGAGGGAACTGAGACTCAGAGGG